TAGGACGAAAAATAAATTAATTGATAAAAGACAGAAAGGCCAAATCGTAGCTGATCGTAGTCAAGGATAACATACAATAAACAGGATAGCCCACTTTTTTAAATCTACGTGAATTGTTAGATTGTCGATTTATGACGCCATAGTAGAACAATTTACTCTCTATTAAAATTGGCCAATCCTATCTATCTACTATGTATATTTTACTATGTTACATCATTGCCAGACCAGATATGTAGGGGTTTTAAACAAAATATCGGTTACTCGGTCCAAAACTAACCGTTCTGCTTGACATTCCTGAAAAAACGGGTAAATTAAATTAAAACTTGAACCATAGTATAAATAAACGTTATTTTATTAATTAATAAGTCAAATAATAATTTAGTTACCAAATGAATATCGATAAATACAATGCGTGAGAATCAGCCAACAGCTGATCACAGTAGACATTCAATGCGACTCAAATAGTTCTGCCTGGAGGAGCACCAACGGTAATTTGTTACCGCAATAGTTCCCCGCACTTCCCTCCTATTGACTGCCGATGTTCTTTATAGTACTATAGTTAGTAATCACACAAAAATTTGTTCCATTACTACATTTTATTTGCCCATACACCTTATAAAAAAGTACCAACATATAGTTTTTATCTACATACACATACATTAAAAATGGTTCCATTACTTATTATAGGGTTATGTTTTCACTTCAAAAGTATTAGGCATTCCAACGACCTGTCAAACAATAGGTGCCAGTGGGAAATTCTTGTATATTTAAGGGGGTAGCGACATAGTCTTCCAACTTGGACGCTATTTTTATTCGAAGTAGTACTCGCCAAGCCTGCCAATTTATGAAGAAATGTATAGGTGGGTTTTTTAAATATTATTTTTATTGTGTTTGACATAAAATATTTAAATCTAATCTATTATTCATGATTTTACGTAAAGTAGATAGAATACACCATATGTCGCCACCCTTAGATATACCAAACCTGCCCACTGGTAATTCATTTGTTTGGAATGCCTAATTATATATATGCTGCGTTTGAGAATCCACATCGAATGCATCTGAGATGTAAAAAATCTTTGATCACGTGATTCAGTATACGTAAATTTAATGGGACAGATGTGTCCGATGTGGATAAAAAAACGCTCGAGATGTAAAAAATGCATCCGATGTGGATTCTCAAACGCAGCAATATTATTACATATTTTTGTGTTTTTAAGGGTATGATCCGTTAATAACTGAAATATCAGTTACTAGGTCTAAAACTGACCCCTCTGCGGCTATATCAAGCTAGCGGGCACTCTGTGGCGGCACCATACAAGACCAGGGTTATTCTACTAAATTTATAGCCCGGCTACAAGTTGAATTTTGGCTTGAACTTTATATGTTCCTAACTTCAAAATCCAACTTGTAGCCGGGCTATAAACTTTTAGCCGGGCTATAAATTTAGTAGAATAACCCTGCAGCTCGGACCAGGCTCAGTTTTTGTAACTTTTTTGTAGCTTTTTTGTTACGCCTGTCTCCATTTCGTTGCGAGGCCTGAACGTGAGTAATAATCGTTTCTCCATGAGCGTGAGAGGAAAGTGCGTTAATTTAAAATCAAGTTTCGGCATCTACAAGTAATAGGTCTTTTCCTTTGCATCGACAGTGTAGCACTGAGCTACGTTACTTCTGAAAATGTCGTTCCATCCATACAATTTGTATAAATGGAACGATATTTTCAGAAGTGGTGTAGCTCAGTGCTACACTTTCGATGCAAAGGAAAAGACCTAATATGTGCAACTCGATAGTGTGACTATCTGTTGATAGATGGCACCAGTATTGCATTTCACGAATTATGGCCATCTTCCATCCAATATATTTTTGAGAAATTTAGATATAATCTCAAAATCGGACATTTGTTTTTAAATGTTTTTAGTGTTGTTTATGTATTTATACTTTTGTTGAATCAAGAATATTCTTACATCTATTTTGAATGATTTCCTTAACCAATCGTTTTGCAGTATTTATGGACCAGTGTTTAATTCTGTCGGATCACAACTACATACAGTGTGTTCCATCTCAGACACGAGCCACCCCGTATATTTCTTATCCCATAGTAATTGGAAAAATGTCCCGAAACACGTCGGATGATTTTCTTTGGGGGACATCTTTTGACCTATATTTGAGGCTTGAACCAGCAACCCCCTATGAGGGGGCGCTTCAACCCCTCAAAATGGAATGGAGAAGAACATCAAATGATCGAAGAAACGTGATAAACACCTTCTAAGAGCAAAAAATGAAGGCAAGATAAGAAAATGTTTTGATTTTTTTTATTTATTAGTACGAGAGAATTTATTATTGCATGGAAGTCAATGGAAGACAAATTGAACATTTCATCTAAAAACGCAGTTTTGATTTTTTTGATTGTCAGCATGATAAAACAATTGATTTTTTTAAAGAATGTGATTTTTTTCATAGACCGTTGTAAAGAGGCTTTCAGGACCTTACAAATGAAGTATCACCCAACTCCTCTTCCCTATTCAATTTTGAGGGGTTGAAGCGCCCCCTTATAGGGGGTTGCTCGTTCAAGATTCAAATATACGTCAAAAGATGTCCCCCAAAGAAAATCATCAGATGTGTTTCGGGAAATTTTTCTAATTACTATGGGATAAGAACTATACGGGGTGGCTCGTCAGAGATGGAACACCCTGTATATAGTGAGAATAGGTAATTGATATTACCACCGGTGTGAAGTTAGCAGTAAGTTTTTAGCAGTAAAAATAACCGAAAACGCCCGATCGGGAAAATAGTGGCGTCCGGCATATAACTATTTTAATAAATCTTGGCAATATGTACATTAATATCGGACAAATAATTAATATACATACCGTTGAAAATGTCCTATTTTGAGATTATATCTAAATTTCTCAAAAATATATTGGATGGAAGATGGCCATAATTCGTGAAATGCAATAATGTGCCATCTAGTAACAGGTAGTCACACTATCCAGTTGCACATATTACTTGTAGAGGCCGAAACTTGATTTTAAATTAACGCACTTTTCTCTCACGCTCATGGAGAAACGATTATTACTCACGTTCAGGCCTCGCAACGAAATCGAGACAGGCGTAACCAAACAGCTACAAAAAAGTTACAAAAAATGAGCCTGGTCCGAGCTGGTGCCGCTACAAATATCCGCTAAGCTAGCGGATCCGCGCTTTTTTCAGGTTCAGTACAAGCTACAAAAGGGAGACTAGCGTAACAAAAAAGCTACAAAAAAGTTACGAAAAACCAGCTGGATCTGAATCTGTGCCGCTACTATGGAATTTATGGAAATTCAAGCTAGCGGATCCGCTGTTTTTTCGGACCTGGGCTAAGCTACAAATTTGCAAATAAGCTACAAAAAACTCGCCGGGTCTTAAATGGTGCCGCCACTGAGTGCCCGCTAGATTGATATAGCTCCGCTCTGCTTGATATTCCTGAAAAATCGTTTAAATTAGGGACGCGGTTACCTGAAAATGATGACTCAAACGTCAATTAATTTATCGATATATTTTTACCTTAGGATGTGTCCGATGTGGATAAACGCTCGAGATGAAAAAAATGCATCGGATGTGGATATTCAAACGCGGCAATTGTAACATTTCAGAAAATATTACCAACTAAGTAAAAACCTGACTAAAAGTGTTTCTGTCAAGAGAATGACATACTTTTGTTGTTTTCGCCAAGGGCCCACCATTTAAAGTAACGTGATTTGGAATGCCTAATTCTTGTTTTGTCAATTGTAGATTGGAGACTGTTGTTAGTTGTTCTTTTTTAACGTCATAGGGTTTCATACACCAAGAACTTTAAACATATAAAATGAAAGCTCCCATTAGGTATTTTCCTTTGCATCAAAAGTGTAGCACTCAGCTACACCACTTCTGAAAATATCGTTTCATTCATACAAATTGTATGGATGGAACGATATTTTCAGAAGTGACGTAGCTCAGTGCTACATTTTCGATGCAAAGGAAAATACCTATTGTGTTTAGTCAGGTTCTACGGTGACGTCATGAATCGACAGTCTTTTCAACAGCGCACTTCACACAGAGAGTGGTTAAACTATGCAAATGTGTTTATAGTATTCGATAGATGGATTCAGTTAGACAAAAATTAAGTGACAGAAACAAAATGTCTTATAGCAGATTCCATCGCTGTGTTTAACAAAGTTTAAATTACTAAGGACCGATTCCACCGTTGTGTTAAACGGATATTAAAATGACATTGTTAGGACCGATTTCACCGTTGTGTTAAACTAAGTTTAAAATTACATTTTTGCATTAACAATGTCATTTTAAACTCCGTTCAACACAACGGTGGAATTGGTCCTAAGAGCCGATTCCACCGTTGTGTTAAACGGATATAAAAATAACTTTGTTAATGTAAAAATGTCATTTTAAACTTCGTTTAACACAACGGTGGAATCGATCCTAAGCAAAGTTTAAGAAGACATTTTCACATTAACATTTTATTCTTTGCCTAGTAATTTAAACTTCGTTTAACATAACGGTTGAATGGACTCTTGGGGGGGTTTCTGTTGAATAGTTATTAATCGGATTACCTAAGGACCGATTCCACCGTTGTATTAAACGAAGTTTAAAATGACATTTTTACATTAGGGCCGATTTCACCGTTGTGTTAAACATAGATTAAAATGACATTGTCAATCTAAAAATGTCATTTTAAACTTAGTTTAAGACAACAGTGGAATCGGTCCTTAACAATGTCATTTTAATCTCCGTTTAACACAACGGTGGAATCGGCCCTAAACGATGCGAGAAGGTGTAGATCGGAATTAAAAGTGTCGATGGAATAACTAAACGAACGCAGCTGATCTTTGAAGTTTTGCGTTTTTCTGTCAATTGTCATTTTCGTTGTTTGTTATTTGTTTTCGGCGTGCAACGTGCATAAAAGAAAAGTAATATTTACATATATAAAAAACTGATATTGTTTATTTAATATTGTTATAATATTAATGATGAATATTAAACAAGAAGAACGTTTAGATACTTGTGAAACCGATCTTATTTATGCACAAAAGTATAAAGACGAAGATGATGATATTTTTGATGAGCTTGAAACCAATACGTCGGGACGAAATGTTGAAATTAAAGAAGAAATTGAACAACGTTCGGATTTGCTACCAAAAATTAATAGTGATTCGACGTCCGAAAAAGAAGTGCGATTTTGTGCTATAACTTTTAAAAAAGAACCAGAGAACACTAGTGAAGTTAAAGCTACGACGGATATCAGAGATATCAAGAAAGAGCTTGATGAATATATTCAATCTAAAGTTGAACTTTTGACTATGCATTGTGATTTACCGACTTTGAAAAATGAAAATACTGAATATCAAGAAAGTTTGAGAGAGTTGTGTGACAACGAAGAAAATGAAAGGATAGCAAGTACATTAAAAAATGATGGAAATGTTATAAATATAAAAAATAGAAGGAAGCAGTATCGGTGTCAAAAAAGTAAGTGGCTATTAAATGATTATCAAAGCTGAACTAGGCTATATTTTTAGACCTTTAGCTGGATTTATAACGTTCATTCAGTTCATACTGAGTTCAATTTTAACATAAATCAATCAGATGCTGCATAGTCATTTATAAAATTCAGTTGTTGGATTCCGCATTTAGTTCAAGTTCAGTTGATGTTGAGAGATGACCAACTTTTATGTTTGTGGAGCTAATTAAAAATATGTGTCTGGTTATTTTACCAAGCATAATTCAACACAATCCTAAAATGACATGGTAGGTTTGTTTTGGATATGAAATTATAACAAATTTAAAATTATTTTATAATCAACACCTAATACAAATATAATCAAAATGAAATATAATTTATTTTGCGGCTATTGGGGTTATGATTGACAATCTGTGTTATTTTTAACAGGTCTGTTATTTTATAAACACACAGAAATTACAACCTGTTCACAAATAACGTTTCTGTTAAAAATAACATTACTTGTCTATCATAACCCCCTATGTCTTGACAAATCAAATGTCAGGAACAACTCAAATTTGCAATGATGAACAAACAGTCAATGACTTTATAAATTAGGTCTAGGGCGAACTCACCAATGAGAGAGTAGAGTGAACTAAATGCCAACTGTACAAAGTTCATAAATCCAGCTTTAAAATTATATTTCTTACTTTATTTCTCGAGTATGTAATATGGTGTTGTCATCTAAGTTTTTTTTATCAATTATTATTACTTCTGTTTTGTGTGAGTTGATGCGTGAATTTGAAGATTGCATTTGGAATTTGCAGATAATGAAAGTTTGATCTGTTGTCATCTTTCAAGGAGAAAGCTACATAATATGTAGATTTTTTTAATATATACAGGGTGTACCAATAAAAACTCCCAGGCCATATATTAACTTAAAAACAATCTACATTAATCGTCATTACCTGTCATTTAATGTTAAAAAAATTCTATGTGACTCGTTGGTTCTATCAAAATTCAACTATGGAGATGTCCTTTATGGTCCCTGTATTGGGTCAGATGACAAAAGGAGAATTCAGGTCATGCAGAACTCATGTATTCGTCTAATTTGTGGAATTAGAAGACGACAACCTATATCCCATAAATTAAAAACTTTGAATTGGCTAAATATGGAAAAACGAAGGTTACTTCACGCTGCTTGTCTATTCCATAAAGTCATTAAAAACCGCTTAACTGTTTATTTATATAATAAAGTTAAATACGGTTCTGATACGCATTTCCTAAATACTCGATATAGGCACATAATAACAGCTCCCCCTCACCGCACAGAAAAATATAAACGCTCCTTTACATACCAAATATCAAAAATATATAACGCTTTACCTAATGAATTAAAATTAAAATCTACACCCGCATTCAAAAAATCACTTAAACATACATTTTTAAACGAGTAGTAACTCATCTTTAATCATGGAAAATTCCTCTTTAAAAAGTCACTAATCGTCTATCGCGTTATTTGGTAATAGTTGGTAATATTTGGTAATATTCTAAAAAATAAATATTCCTTCATATTATTTTCTAATGTTTCTGATATTACTAATTGAAATTGTTTTATTTGTTTTTTTTTTTAGTAATTAGAAATTAAGTTAATTTTAGTCATTGTTACTACTGCTTAAGATGAAAAACAGAGGCGATGATTTCATTGAAATTATCGTCACCTGATCTTCGGCATTTTTCCTTTCTTGCTTTGTTACGATTGCTTTTTTTTTTTTTTTTTTTTCATAATGTTTGTAAATAGGTATGTAACTTGAAAGGAAAATAAAGACCTTTATTATTATTATTATTATTATTATTATTATTATTATTATTATTATTATTATTATTATTATTATTATTATTATTATTATATTTTGGTAAGTAATAGAGATATTTTAATTTTGTAAAAGCCAGTTCACACAGCACCAAGAGAGCTTCAGTTTTAGATATAAATTGGTTTTAAATAGTTCAATATGTAGATGGCGCTGCGCTCAATAATTCTTTTTCGATGGGAGGATCTTATGTAGCACATCTAGTAAAAAATGCATTTTTAAGCAGATTTTGTTCTATAAAATAATTCGATATATCTAGCCATTTAATATACAGAGTGGTCACTCAAAACAGTTTCATCCTGTTTTTCAGCATTAATAATTGGAATTTAAGAAAATACCAAAATAGGTCGATTTTTATTGCAAATTAAAAAGATTTCTACAATACAGACATCTGTCATGTGTCAACTCCCTCCCTTGCACTTCTCCAATACCTCAATTTTAAATAGGTAATGTACCATGTATGGCACATCATTGAAAAGGTAATTTAATGAAGAATTCAGAAATATTTCTGTACATTGCGTTACTTAAATTTTATTGCCCTCTAGCGGGATAAAAAACTACTATGTATTATAGAGTGTGACACTGCTGTAGTACATCATTAAAAAGGTAATTTTATGGGGAATTTAAAAAAATGACTGTTCATTGCGATACCTTTAATTGTACCGCCCTCTGTCGTAATAAAAAACTGTACGTACTATAAAGTGACACCTTATTTGAAAGCAAATTTAATTACTAATTCAATGCACCACATAATATTAATATAAATATCCTCCATTTTGCACTTGCAATAGTTTTAAAATTAGTCATGCATTATTTTAAACATTATTGCTAACTTTATTTTGTTGCAAGTGCAATATGGAAATATTTATAATAATGTTATGTGGTGCATTGAATTATAAATTAAATTAGTTTTCAAATGAAGTATCACACTTTATAATACGTTACACGTTTTTTTATTCCGATAGAGGGCGCTAAAATTAAAAATATCGTAATAAACAGTAATATTTCTGACTTCCCCATAAAATTACCTTTTTAATGAGGTGCCGTACATAATACATTCCTTATTTAACATTAAGGGGTTGGAGAAATGGAAGGGAGGGGGGTTGACACATGACAGATGTCTATATTGTAAAAATGTGTTCAATTTTGAATAAAAATCGACCTGTTTTAGCATTTTTCAAAAATCCAATGACTAATGCCGAAAAACAGGATGAAACTGTTTTGAGTGACCCACTCTGTATATCAAAAATGGCTAGATATATCGAATTATTTTATAGAACAAAATCTGCTTAAAAATGCATTTTTTACTAGATACGCTATATAAGAAAGAAAGATCCTCCCATCGAAAAAGAAATACTGAACGCAGCGCCATCTACATATTGACCTATTTAAAATTAATTTATATCTAAAACTGAAGCTCTCTTAGCGCTCTATGATCTGGTTTTTACAGAATTAAAATATCTATTACTTACCAAAATATCCGGCCTGGGAGTTTTTATTGGTACACCCTGTATATATAGTTTATTTAAATCCAACCAGTTTTTTACTTTATAATAGTGATGTAAATAGAAAAAGTTTTGTTTTTTTATAAAAAAAGTCAAAATTTTATGACCTGGCAACACTGTGCTGAAGTTGGTGTAGTTTGCTTTGTGGTATGTTTTACACTTATCTTTCTTGAAATAAAACATTGTTTTGCTAAGAAATATAAATGCAAAATCCCATTTTCCGGATAGATAATACTTAAAACTAAAACCATGCTGCTGAGCTGTCAAGCGAAGATTTCTAATAAAAATATTTAATGTTTTCTTGTGCCTGGAAGTATTTTGGTGTAACCGTTGAGTTCCTATGCAGCTACAGAGGTGCCAAAGAAAGCAACAGAGCACCTAGGGACTTTTGAGTTAAAACCTGTGTCATGTTTTTAGGTTATTTTAAGGCTAATTTTACCCTATTCAAAAATGAATGCTTCTCGTTTTTTTTTTTTTTTTCAAAAATAAAGACGCTGTGCTAGCTTCGAATAAAGTCAGCAGAGCACCTCCATTTTTAGACTCGGTAAAGTTGGGTGACTTTGACCCGCGTGGTTGACTTTAGTTCAAATCAGTAAATAGTTATTTTTGTTCTCAAAAATTATATGTCCTATTTTTAAAATAAAACTTACACTGGTTGAGCTGTAAGGTATTTAAATTACCCAAAACACTTTATTTAAAGACAATTGGACGCTTACGCTTTAAATTTAACTCATTGTAAAATAATCGAAATTGAAAGATGATAAAATTTGTATGCAACCATCAATACTGTTTGTAATATTTTTTGTTATTATCTTTAAGGTCTATGCCCACTATACCGTACCATACTATGACCGTGCCCGGACCTGATTTTTTTTTGTATATATTCAAATGAGGATGGTGTGGTCGATGCCGGGCCGGTCTAGTGGGCATTGTCTCATTTAAATCTATACAAAGAATATTTTTCTGCCCATGCCGGTACGGTCACGGTCATAGTATGATCCGGTGTAGTGGGCATAGACCTTTACCCTAAGCGATAACAAATATTTTTTTAATGATAAAATATGTTTCTGAAAATATGCAAATTTTTCATAAAACTATTAAAAAAGGACTGGAGAAAACTAGCAGTATTAAAGAAATGCAAATTAAAGAAGTTAGTGAATTTATACAAGCAAAAACTGAAAGTGAAGTGCTTGAACTACTGACTTCCCATTGTGATTTACCGACTTTAAAAAATGAAAGTACGGATTATTATCTGAATGCGGATTCTTCGAGACAAACATATACCAAAAAATTATTAACAAATACAGCTCAAGTTATTAAAAAAAAAAGAGATATGGATGCCCTATTTGTCAAAAGAGTGTCTATATGATTTTGCTTATTGTCTGTTTTTAAATAGGCCAATTACTGTTCTTTCTTTTAATCACATCTAAAAATTATTCTTCTATACAACCCCTGGGTCTGTATAATATTAGGAACTTCGGAAAAGTTATTAATACACCAAAAAGTACTTTATGTAGGTAGTTTTTAGTAGTTTCTGAAAAAAAATATGGCTTTCAAAAGTTTGAGAAATGCTGCTTTAGGAAGTGGGACACTAAAGTTTCTTTCAAAGAATTAGGAAAGAAGCCAATCTCAAGACAGCAATTAATGTTATCT